GTTGGGGGCAATATGCTGACTCTGTAAACCGCTTCGAGAGGGCTGAAAGCCCTATGAAGCGGTATATAAGTCTAACTGCTATTGCTATTGCTATCTGAGTACCTGGTGGTCAATGCAGTCTGCCAACAGTGCCACTATGAAGTTTAAGCCTCCAAGGTCCATGATCTCCTGGCAAAATTCATTCCGAACAGACAAGCGTGCCAGAGTGGCACAGATTTCACTCAAAACACTGCAGTCATCAGTGAAGGCTGAGCAGGAGAGAGAGAAAAAGACAAAGCATCAGTACGGTTGCCTGTTGTAATACAGGGAGGCCCTCAAACTTATGATAACAATGGAGCATGTCCATCGTGGTTTAAGTTGTGTTGCTGTTTTATAAAAAGAGCTGGACAAGTGACCAGTCAGGTTTAGAATGTTTCTTGCAGTTGTTCTTAAGCAAATGTGGACGGTTGCAAAGTGGTGGTCATTAAGCAAATCCTGCAGTTGTTAAACAAACCAACAGTTTTCACTCTGGGGGAGGTTTTGCCAAAAACCCACAAGTAAATGCTAGTTATTGGCAAGGTTGTCACGCATCCTCACAGGATCGCAGGGATGATACAAACAGCCATAAATGCGGTTGTGTTGCCAAGGGCACAATGGTCAGTCACGGACTGCAAAGGGGAGAAATTCATGACCATCAGAACTTCAAATCCAGGTCGTTAAATAGCTCAGAACGCTGCACAGTCACTGAGTGAGCAGTCATACGTTGAGAACTTAGCTGTCCCAATACCACAGAAGTGACAATAAAGCACGGTGCATGAGAAGGGCTTCAGAATCCGGGTCCCCGAAGGGCTCATTAACAAATACAAATAAAAACCCTGCTTTTTTAGCATCCATGGTGTTCGCTGCGTGAAACCAAGTGGTATCATTAAAAATAAATGATATGAATAAAAGGTGGGGTAGATCTGTCAAACAATATGGAGACAGAAGCTAAAGCTAGAACCAGGGTGGTACAGTGATCTGAATGCAGTACTGCAGGCTACTTCTGCTGACTGCCGGCTGCTGGCAATTCGAGTCTCGACTCAGCCTTCCATCCTTCCAAGGTGGGTCAAATGGGGACCCAGATTGTTGGGGGCAATAGGCTGACTCTGTAAACCGCTTAGAAAGGGCTATAAAGCAATGGGAAGTGGTATTTATTTATTGAATTTATATTGCTACCTATTCAGACTCAAGGCAATAAAACTAATAAAAAGAATCAAATAAATTAATATAATACCGTGTTTCTCCGAAAATAAGACAGGGTCTTATTTTCTTTTAACCCCCGAAATAAGCGCTTGGCCTTATTTCCGGGGAGGTCTTATTATTTTTGAGGTGCAGGAGGCGGAGAGCGTGGTCACCTCATGGCTGCTGCTGTGTTGCAATATTTTCGGGGGAGGGCTTATATTCACACATAGACTCCAAAGCCCTATTGGACTTATTATCCAGAGGTGTCTTATTTTCGGGGAAACAGTGAGGGAGTGTCTTTCTCCCCTCAGCAACTTGCAAAAAGCAGTTTAATGTCTTAATGATATAAGATGATCACCTATTTTAGGTGCTAACCTATTTTAACAATTGAACAAGAATCTCGCTGGATTGACTGCCTTCTCTTGGGGGCAGCCAGATAAAGGCTTCAGGAGTGTGGGGTGAGGTGGGGTTCAGGTCTGCATCTCTGCAAGGGCTCTTAACTTTCCAGCCTCACTTCTCCTCCCACAACAACTGGAGATTATAGCAATTTAAGTGAAGAGCTGGCAGCAGATTCAGACAGTGAGGAGGTTGGGGAGGAATCTGGGCCAGTCCTGGAGTCTGGGGAAGGCTCTGATGAGGGCTCTGTGTTGGAGGCAGAGAGGGGGTCAGGGCCGCCTGACAGTTATCAGCTGCCTTCAAATTCAGACATCAGTGAGGCAGACGAACAGCTGGAGCCTGTT